GAAGCTGTTTCGAGGGGTATGTGTATACTAAGCGCTACACTAGAAAAACTCATCAGATGGGAGTGTTCCAGGAGGTTGGCCTCTGATTGTAAAGGTTAGGGTTAGCAAGGATCCTTACCCAAAACACCAACTACACTCCAAGAGTTTCAACCAGACGGATACTGGACGACCACTGGAGGACCACAACCACAGTCATTCCTCATCCATGACAGTGTTCCACATTCCAGAGACAGAGTCGTTGTGTTTGCCACACAAGAATCTTTTCTCCACCTAGCCCTCTCTAAGACTTGGTTTATGTCCCCTTGTTTTACCAGCTGTTCAAAGATGAAAACGATTCGCCATTCCAAATGAATTTCAAGTTAATCAATCTGACAATCAACTCATTAAACAGAGTAAACTGACTATATAATTACATATAATTTATATAACTTCTTAACTATGTTAATACAATATATATAAAATCTCAGCTTGTGTTTGTTCATTATTTGTGATGGGTGTGGGTGTGGGGAATTGCCCTACTGGTTATAAAACAGGTGTGGGGAAATGTCATGTGGGGAATTGTTCTACTCGTTACTAAACAGGTGTGGGAAAATGTCAAGATGGGGAAATGTCATGTGGGGAATTGTCCTACTGGTTACAAAACAGGTGTGGGGAATTGTCAAGATGGGGAAATGTCATGTGGGGAATTGTCCTAGAGGGGATTTGTCCTGATGGGGAATTGTCCGTACACCGGTTGGAACATAAAATATATATCGCATGTGTAGACGTAGTTGGAGTAAACATATGTCGTAGGTTATTGGACCCGTGAAACTAAACTCACTCACCCACTCAGTCGTAGGTTATTGGACCCGTGAAGATCTGGGATAGAATAGGTCTTCAGCAACCCATGCTGGCCACAAAAGGCGACTATGCTTGTCGTAAGAGGCGACTAACGGGATCGGGTGGTCAGGCTCGCTGACTTGGTTGACACATGTTATTGGTTCCCAATTGCGCATATCGATGCTCATGCTGTTGATCACTGGATTGTCTGATCCAGACTCGATTATTTACAGACCGCCGCCGTATAGCTGGAATATTCCTGAGTGCGGCGTAAAACTAAACTCACTCACTCACTCGTTGGTTATTGGGAATTAATGTCGCGATGAAGACTCCATGTATTCATTGTGTGTTGGGTGATTGTGTGGTTTGTTTGTTTGTTGTTTAACGCCCCACTCAGCAATAGTCAAGCTCTATGGCGGCTGTCTGTAAATAACCCAGTGATCAAAAGCAAATGGGAACCGATGACATGTGCAAACAAAGTCAGCGAGCCTAACCACCCGATCCCGTTAGTCGCCTCTTCGATTCCTTTATTACCTTTATCTGTACAGATAATTGGTATGTCAAATAGCGGTATTGGTACAGGGTTGGTTGTTTTCTTTTTGAAAAGATGGTGACTATGGACATATAAAGGAGGATGCACAATTACTGCACTCTAATTAACTCATTCCTTAATATCCTAGCCTTATATAAATATTTGCCTAACTTACATTATACTCTAACGTTGTTAATACTAAAGAGTTGAATAAGCTTCAATACCGATGGACATTTGTAACAAGACGGTTTGATATACATTATTCTATAATCATAATATGCTGAACATATCAATATAACTCATCTTCAATATCATTTTTTACACATTAAACATTTACAATTAGCACGAATTATTTGTTTGGTATCTACCAGTTTCTATCGCTAAGTTATGGGAGCTGAGTCTGAATTTTGATAAATACTTTCTATAGAGATATATGGAATCGATTTACGTAAACATGAAGCGAACATTGATTGATAACATTTTTATAAATTACACATTTCGACGAGTTGGACAACTGACTAGAAATAAAGTGTATAGTCTGATCGTTAAATCATTGTTTAATAACTGATATATAATCTTGCCTCTTACGACAAGCTTGGGCCTCTGCTTTGGCTGCTTTTAGTAGTATAGTGAGTGAGTGAGTTTAGTTTTACGCTGCACTCAGCAATATTCCAGCTATGTGGCGGCGGTCTGTAAATAATCGAGTCTGGACCAGACATAAGCATGAGCATCGATCTGCGCAATTGTTAACCTATGAGCACTTTAGTGTTACAGGGGCGGTGGGGTAGCCTAGTGGTTAAATGTTCGCTCACCACGCCGCAAACCCAGGTTCGATGCCCCACATGGTACAATGTAAAACGCCCATTTCTGGTGTCACCAACCCTGAAATAGTGATAAAGCGGCGTAAAACCATACTCACTCACCCATTATTGCTATAAGCCAGGCAGGATGACAACAAGGACCATCTGTTATTGTCCATCTGTTGGCATGACGCATTCGCGGATCTAATCACTGACGAGCGAACGCTTTGACAACTAGGCTACCCAACCGTCCCCGAGCAAAAGAGAATACACACTTGAATATTAGGTTTGAATATAACGTTATGAAGCGTTACTACAAAAGAAATACCCTGAAAACAGTTGCTGGAATACGGCAAATGTGACGTTCGAAACACGTTATTATAAACACTACCAACATCCACAAAAGGTAAACTATTTCTTGCTTGTTTCATAAAAGTCGTGATTAAGACAGACAGACATACAGACAGACAGACAGACAGACAGACAGACAGACAGACAGACAGACAGACAGACAGACAGACACAGAGATGTTCGCAGCAAATACAGTATTTATGTTACTCGTTAAGCGTGAGTAAGTGAGTGAGTGAGTTCAGTTTCGGGTGTGTAGGCTCGCTGGCTTGGGTGACATATATCATCGTATCCCTATTGTGTAGATCGGTCCTAATGATGTTGATCACTGGATTGTGTGGACAAGACGCGATTATTTACAGACCATCGCCATATAGCTGGCATATTGCGGAGTGTGGCGTTAAACAAATAACAAACAAAACTGCATCCATATAGATGTTGACCAATGTGTAGGTTGATTGAGACAAATTCTAATTGTGAAAACGTGTTCACAGCTAGATGTGGGTGTAGTGTTAGCGAGGCACAAGACGACACCGACGACGACAGTACTTAACGACCGCCTCCGTGGTGTAGTGGTTAGAGCGTCCGCCCGGAGAGCGGAAGGTCGCGGGTTCGACCCCGATTGCGTCATACCAAAAGACGTTAAAATATGGTACTTGTTGGTCCCTGCCTGGCGCTCGACATTAATGGGTACATCAAGGACTGTGTCTGAGTGGGGTATTCATGCTTCACTGCAGCATGGTATCTCAGTGGGCTAGCACTATAAAACCAGCTTCAGTCTGGGCTAGTACAAGCAGCCGCACATACACATACACACGCATGCACGTCGTCATATGAGCGAAATATTCTCAAGAACGACGTTACACCCAATTTCACCTCACCTCACCACACAGTACTTAGCGGAAGATAAAAACGGAAGATACACATACCCACATCCATACATACACACACACATGCACGCATATACACACACTTACACGCGCGAACACACACACAATGAAACGAATACACACATGTACACGCATATACACTTATACGTGCACGCGCACATGTTTACATGAATACACACGCACACGCACACGCGTATGCACTCTCACACACATACTCACACGAATACACACACACGCTCATGTACATGGGCGAACTGTCTAAAGCGCCGGGCTAGTATGTATGGGCTGGTAATCCATCGAGCTTGAGGTAACGGGATCGAGCCCACCTGTGACCGGGTGTAGAAACCTTAAAGTCAACTTTGTGTGCAGACTCTTTCAGTGTTGTCACAACCCTTAGTGTGCAGTCCACAACCCTGTGCACTTATAAGAACCCACGAATCCGTTGGTATATGACCAGATGGTGGCCACTTGAATACGTGCAGACACCTAGTTGTGGGTACAGCAACGTGCACTAGGTGTCCCAGTCCATCCAGTTGTGAATGGGTTCCTCGTAAGGATGGGAAAGCCACACTAACTCGGTATGCCTAGTGTCTGCAAGAGTTGTATGCTCCCCAGAGGGTTGAGATTAATAATAGGACGTGCCGTTGAGATTAACATCCAGTGATCGAGGGAAAACCAACGCTCCTTGAGCAGCTAAGCTGGATATCGGCGCTATACAAATGTATGTATGTATGTATGTATGTATGTATGTATGTATGTATGTATGTATGTATGTATGTATGTATGTATGTATGTATGTATGTATGTATGTATGTATGTATGTATGTATGTATGTATGTATGTATGTATGTATGTATGTATGTATGTATGTATGTATGTATGTCGGACATCATTTTCATTAGGTGCAACACAGGTAATCCAGACAAAATACACAGTTGAATAAATGACAAACTATACCTATTCAGCATTTCAATAATTTTATTTCACTCATGCTCATTAAAATAAATACACAATATGTACATCCCGTTCTCTCATGGCAGTGAACCCCAATATTTACTCTTTCACTTCCCCCTCAGCTGAACACACTCGGACTCAAACTGTGGGATGACACAAATGGCGCACGCACGTATACATCGTATGCCTTCACGGGTTACCCTCGACAAATATACACTCCAAACTTTGATATGTCAGATATGTCATTCAAAGATATTCTTGACACATGGTGATAATAATCTTTGAAGATCATGGAAAGATAAAAAATATCCTTATCAAAAGTGTAGTAGTGAGTTTAAGTTCATATGCAACACCTTGAAAAATATATATTTACAATACGTTTCTTTCTCGCAACATTAAGCACAATGTCGTGATCGATGATGTTCACTGACACAGCTAAGCACTGACGTTGGAAACAGTACGACAATGAGCTGTCATATGTTCTTTTCTCTCTCAAATACGTTCTACAAAAGACCACTGTGCAAGCTACAAATATTTGAGTGCTTCAGTGTGAGCGACTGACGTTTGTCATCGAAACATTCAGATTGAGTGAGTTTGGTCCGAAGTCCCTTGAAGTGTATTTAAATTAGATGTGGGGAGACCATCATGCAGGGCCCCACCAAAACGGATACCGTGTAACAGTACAAGAAACGTGATCAGAGAGAACCGGAACCGGAAGATAGGTGTCTGACGCATCTAAGGTATGCAACTCTTTACAGCGAATTGCGGCACTCAAGACTTTGTGATTCATGTGTCATCCAAAAAGTAATACGGTCAGCAATAAATACTGTACAGCGTTACCTCGTTGGCTCAGTTCATCAAAACATATTCATCAAGTTACATGCAAATAATCATCTAAAACATCGGTTGTCTTCAGTTTAGTTCAGGATAGTATTGGTGTCACAAGAGGTGTTAACACCGAACTTCCTCTTCATCTATGCAAAGGTCAATATCTAGGTCAAATCAATGTCACTTAGGTGAGATCAAGGACGTGATTGAGGTATGAAATATAGCAAATTGCAAGACGAAGTATTTCTATCTTCGACAGTTTCTTATCTGGCGGAAGCGTTGGTAGTAACTTCCGCAGTTCAGCAAAGGCAACGTTGAAGGCCTCAACACGAATTCTCTCCCTTGTTGCATGCGCAGTGCGGTACTTCACTGTTGCTCGGCGACGGCGTCTCCTCTCTTCTCTACTGAGTTGTGTATTTTCTTGATTTCCACCACGATGACCTCTAGAGGCCAAAGGTAAACTGTCCTTGCAGTCGTCATCTGAATCTCTGACGTCACTCTCAGAGTTCAAACCATTCTCTATGCTTGTGAAAGTCATTTTGTCTGATGTCACTTCCGTGTGCATTTTCCCAACTTCCGGTTCATCAACAGGAATTCTGAAAAAAGAAAACGTAGCCAATATGAAACATGACTGAATAATAATCCTAATATAAAATTATCCTTTTTAGGAACCGCTCACGTGATATTGGAGGATATGGTAAAATAACACTGAAAAAGAAATATGATATCAAAGAACCGAGGTGTAACTATGGATACACACACACGCATGCACGGACGCACTCACGCACAGACATCATCACTACAAACAACACCAACGTACACTCTCCAGTTGAGCTGGGGTTTAAACAGTTTGAAGAGTTAAAGAGTCGAAGTACAAACTACCATTGGTTTTCAACAAGCCCTTGAACGCTTCATGTCAAATGTGTTTGAATAAAAGTCGGTCAGTTGATTCAGATAATGAAATAATATGTTTTAAGGAAAGTTAACATGAAACATAAATATATCATTCACCACTGTACGACAATATATACAGACAAATACTAGTTTTGCCGAAGTATGTTCATTAAAATTGCCTGGATCAAAACTGATCGATTAAAGACTCGTGTGTAAGTGTTAATGATCTTGTGTATATGCGCAGACTGTGTCAGACTTCCCTAGTAGAGTACCCAGATTAACTGATTCTGGTGTTCTGTCTAAAATAAATATACGATATTTAAGATTATCACTTAACCATTTGCATTGTCTAATATATATTTTCAAATATATTTTTGCACTGAGTAACGGATTTGGGTGTCCCATTCAAATGATGCACAATTTTCATTTTGATCCTTCTACCTAGCCATGTTTCATGCTCTAGGGATCTGTTTCAGGTGTTTGGCAAATCATCACAGAATTTTGACACTCTGATTTTTTTTAATTGCCTAATTTAAGATCGGGATGCCCATGTACTAATTTGTCGCTATTCTGGGAAGGCTGGAACAAGAAGACTTTCTAATTCATTATCATGCATAGCAATCAGCGACAGTATCATAATGTCACCATCTCGGAATCAGATTCTTTTGTCTTTGTGATGGCATCTGCCCGGAATCCTTGGAGACGCGTAATCGTTTATTGTCACGTGACATGTTTTGCCAGAACGGTCTCCCCCTTTGACAGAATTAGTCACGTGATTGGCTTATCAAAACTTGAGACTAGTTTTGTGTCCATGGGATGAATTAACCCCACAATCGATTCTGACTAACAAGAAGTGCAAGATTCGATTTTGGGACGAGAAATGGACAATGGAATCTTGGCAACGAGATGCCATCTGTCCCTTGAATATCTCAGACAAGTCGCAAGTTAGCTAGAGTTATTCATGATCATCCATGCCTTGCGACACCATTGCAGACATTCACAACGCGAGCCAACACATGGCATGAGAAATAAAAAAGCTGTGAGAAAATGGCAAAATGTATTCAATGTCAAGTAAATCATATATTTTAATAAAATATGAAAACACATTTTTTGTTACAAAAAAATGGTATTGCGTGTTAACATATTTTTAATTTTATTTTTGAATTTATCAATTCAAATTTGAACGTTTATTAGCATTATTATCATGATTATTGAATCATCGCCCCCATCGTGTTTGTTACGTCTGGTACACCATAGACAGACTCATCACTGAGGTCCAGCATCATGTTTGTGTTTAAAAGCCTAATGTGTGAAACATCCAACGCCCTGAGTGATGATTTGCAAAGACAGACCACTTCCTTTGAACATCCATTTGAAATCGCCATTGCATCCCGTACATTTAGGGTTACATAAAATAGTGTGTCTTTTGGAAAACCCACGTTTACTCATTTTATAGATATGCCTGAAATAGCAATTTGGAAAATGTGAATCTCTATGTTAACATTCAAAGAACGTGTCGCCTTTATAGATATTTGCAAGAACACTGTCAAGCTCACACTGAATACAAGACCCTTATGTGACCAATTGATTGAAAGCAATATGTTTTTCCTTTAAACTTCAGAAAGGAAAATCCTTTCATCTTAGATTTCTTGGTTAAAACAAATTTCCGATTTGTTTGTAATCTGATCAATGCAAAGTGGGAAAAAAATCAAGTGCTATTCATTATGAATCCTGGAACACGTACATGAGTGGTTAGTATTTTGTACAAGCAAGGATATAGCTGATAGTGTGGGGATGGTTCGACACCGCCTGACCAGTCATGTCATGGCACGTCAATCTGAAGAGTGGATGGGTGAGTGAGTGAGTGAGTGAGTGAGTGAGTGAGTGAGTGGTGGGTGGGTGTTTCAGTGAGTGGCAGAGTGAGTGAATGAGTGAGTGAGTGAGTGAGTGAGTGAGTGAGAGAGTGAGTTGTAGAGTCTTCCACGTTTACCACTTTGATAAATGACAAACCAAACAGTTACAGCCAACGGTGGTTGAGTTTCACACACTGTGCATGTCTGGAACATCCAGCCCTGGCCAACCCACTGCCCAGTAATGATCATAGCAATAAGAAGACAATAAACGTAAATGCGGATGTGAATATTCCTGAGTGAAGCGCATATAAAAGCCTAACGTGTTCGATAACTTTCACAACTAAAGGATAGTCTATTATTAACGGCATCCAAATACGTCACAGTGGGATTCTCTATCTGTCACGTCAGCGCCAAATCTTGTCTAATCATCTTACAAAACACACAGGTAATTGAGTAAACATTGTAACTACCCTGTATGTTTGTCATGCAAAGAATTCACTAACAGTGTTTGTGATATGTCTTCACAGATGGATTGAGAACGGTTGTCATATTTTCATGTCAACCGTTTGACATTGACGTTTCAGAAAATTTAAATTGTCATCTGCAGAAGTATTAGGGAGATCATGTACAGTAGTGTAAGCTGGATGAACTGTCCTTAACTGACAGAGAATATCTATACAGTCAAATATCAGTTCACTGTATTTCAAAAACATGGATTTTACAAGATAAAGACTCCTAGCTATCGTAAACCCAAACTGAATGTTTTCAACCGGATTGAAAATTTAACATGTCTTAAATCAAGTTTAAAATGAGATGCAGATACGTTGCTGAGGATTGGTGGGCGGGGTGGGTTAAGGGGACACACACAGAGGAGAGTATGTGGATGTCTTCAACACTCACTACTATTTGTTTCTCATCACCTTCAGTAATAACATAAATTGAGCTGAAAGTTTGAGAGATTAGCCTGTCAACTGCCACTGCCCCTGGGACATCCAAGCTGCTAATTAAAGGACAGGACTGTCTCCCATATTGGTTTTGGCAACTTCCGGTTCTTAGGCAACTCTCAATTACGCATGTCATCGAAACACTTCCGCCTCAAATTGTAAAGGTAACGCGAAGTAATCCGATTATCACCGTCTCGAGGGGGTCGCGTTATTTGACAATTTTCTTCTGTTGTCAGCAGGGACAAAATTGACTTTTTTTTCATTTTCTGCGGTCCTTGTCAACATGTTCCGAGACTGGTTTTTGTTTCTGCCTGGGTAGTTCTGCATTCCAGAGAGGTCCCTGACAGCGTCCTTAGAAGAGTCATCATTAGATGGAGTCTGACACCTCTCAGTTGCTATTAGAAGATATGTTTATGCTGGTTTGGTGAAATTGTGTTCAAGAGCTGTTCAGGCCAATAGTCTTTTGTACTGGTCTTAAGTGGACTGTACATGCTATCGCGTTTGACCAGTGTCCACCAACAAAGGTTTGATTACTCTCCTCAGATCTTGCTGTGAAAGGTTTTCTAGCTTGGAAACAACCTTAGCATATCACGAACAACGTAGCTCGAAACGTCTCAGCACCGTTTTACAAGAGGATGCAGATAGGCATATTTGACGTAATACAGACGTCGTTGTTGACTTAATACGTATGTTACTATTGATACTGTGATACATGCGTAATCATTTAAATTAAAAGTGTTCCAGAGACTACACTTACTGCAGATGTCGTTTACTAAAATTCGGAAATTGTACCCAGAATCTTAGAATATTGGCGTTTTAAGGAACACGCGTCTGCGCAGCGTATTGCCAATTCTACATATGTATTATTATACACTACTAAAAATGTGTTAAGGACCACAGGGGAGTGCGTCAAATTATATGCATCTTTTAAAATAGCCTAGACAGTATTATTTGGAAACAAGTCGGCTGGAACATGTTCTACAATGACTACAACAAGAAGTGACTTCTGAGTCTAAGTTGATGGACTTCGTGTCCATGAAGATGAAGTACAGCTCCTTCGCAGCAACATACGTACACGTAAAACTGCCATCTCCGTAGCGCACACCTGTCATTGCGTGTGTCTGAATAGAAGCGTTAAACCTTAAGACGTTCCGCAGGAGATAGATGAGAGTGACGGCAGTCAGGAGAAGTCTTGTTCCCGCTGTGTGGTGGAACTCTGTCCTCCACCTTCATGTCGCTAGATAGCTTGATAGCTAGATAGCCGAACGTCTGGCATCGCGTGTGTTTGGATAGAAACGTTACATCCACCGGTGTTCCGCAGGTAGTGAGTGTCGGGAGTGATGCTTATCCGATCCTCTGGCATCGATTCTAAGTCCTGCTGGTGACACTTTCAAGACTTGATCCTTAGTAAACTCTGAGTAGTATAGCTTGTTTTAAGGGTGTAGTTTCGAACCTTTTGAATATGACCACTGGATATACACAATAACTCGAGATAAATCAGTGGCTTATTATTTTGTCTATCGATAATAACAACAATCAAAATAAATTGTTTTGGATAATATCAATATTATGCGCTGATTGACAAAGGAAATTTAATATAGTGAATGAGTTTCCTTCCATGGAGGTGACGGTGAACAAATGGTGTGATCTCACAGATTTATGAATAAAAGCAACTCCAGGTTAAGTGACTGAGGTCGATGGTTAAACCGATATTATAGCCCTTAAGCCCTAGTCATATTACCAGACAAGACAGTGTTCACATCGCCTTGAGAATCGACCCATACTAGATCCTGAAATACGTAAATAGGACACGCAAACAGAATTTACGGGATAGCCTCGTTTTCGCACGGGATCAGGTGCAGAGGGCACAAATTAGATTATGTCTGCGGCCAACTCGAATAACAT